GGTTGCGAAGGGGCCGAAGCGGGTGGTGCATGCGAGCAGGAAGAGAAGGAGGACGATTGGACGCACATGGACTGCTGATTCCTGTTGCATGGGCAACTCAGGTCCAGCGCGGCCGACGAATGGCGGCATTGTTCGTTTCTGAGAGAGGTGAGGCGACCCGCACGTCGGTAGGGAGCTCGCGATGAGGTGGGCGTGATGGTGGCGCTTGCGGAGCCCACCACAGACGTGAGGAGAAATTCTCCTCACATCGTGATTTGCGAGCTAATAGAAAACCTTTTGACCCTACGAGTTCGTATACCGTAAGTATATTTTTGACAGCTCCATACGCGACCGCCTTCGGTTCACGGGGGCGGTCGCTCTTACACGAAATACGGCCGGCTGGCAATGGGACAAGCCAAAGAAGGAGCGGCCCAAGAACACCGAGCAGCTCAGGTCGCCAGGGGTCAAGGACGGCGTCTCGGCTGAGGACCTCAAGGCCAGGAAGGCCAAGGGGCCTGAGTACCCGGGCTAGGCCTGAGTGGTGTGAGTGGTGCGGCAAACACCACCACACCCACTGCTGCTTCGACTGGCGTGAGCGCAACAAGCTCGACAAGTACCACCCAGGCCTGACACAGCCCAACAAGAGTGGTGGGGGCAACAAGGGCGGCAACACCCATACAGCCAGGCTGGCCGCCCACTCGGCGGAGCCAGGCCCAGTAGAGACACTCGCGCCGCCCGTCACCCCACTCCATCCACCCGAACCGCCCCCCAGCATCGTGCCGGATGAGTCGGCTGTCTACTACCGGACGGAGCTCCACGCACGACACCGGGTTCGACTTCGAGAACGACCGGCTGGAGTTGCCTGAGGTGGCTGACGGGGACAACGCCGTGAGATGGCTCGGCGGAGGCAGCCGTGAAGCCGTCATCGACAGCGGCGCGTCGCTGCATGTCGTGCCCGACGAGGAGTGCCTCATCCAGGGCTCCAAGCGGCCCACGCCAGGACTACGCATCAAGACGGCCAAGGAAGGACAGGATCTCGACGTCGACTGCAGAGGGGAGGCCCTCCTCATCGCACGCGACAAGAATGGCACCAACCTGCTTATCAAGCGCAGCCCCGTGTTTGTCGCCAAGCAGTGCCCAGTCACCCTCATCTCTGAGCGGCAGCTGCATACGCGTGGCGGCGGGGTCCACAAGGTCGCCGGTCAACTGAGTGTCGCCTACATCTACTGGCATGTGGAGGGCATCGACGGTCTGCGGCAAGCGCGCGTCATTCCTCTGAAGTGCGTGGCCAGTGGATATCGCCTGACAGTGCGGCCGTGGACAGAAGCCGACGACGAGAGGTCGAGGACGATGGAGCCGACACTGGCGGTGGGCAAAGCCATGCAGACGTCTCTGCCGATGCTGTTATCGAGTGACGGCCATGCACACGAGGGTAGTGTGTGCTCAAGTGCATCGAGTGACGCTGATAATGATAGTGATGGTGGAAGTGTTGATGAGGCTGACGGTAAGAGCGACAAGCAGCTGCCTGAGATTGTCATGACGGATGCCAACACACGGCGGATGATCGACATCTACGACCTCCACACGTCGGCGGGCCACATCGGCGTCTCTCGGCTCCCGGCTCTGTCACAGACCATCCGTGGATGCAAGCCCATCACCAAGATACCATGGAAGCCCAGCTACCCGCCATGCCACCAGGGCAAGGCCCAGCGGGTTCCCATCCGCCATCGCACTGGCCACAAGGACGAGAGGGCCAAGAAGCCGGCGGAGAAGTGGCATGCAGACTGGGCGCATATGCGAGGGCACGTCGGTGCGTTCAGGTCGATAGCGGTGCTCGCCCTGGTCTTCGTGTGTGCCTTCTCTGGCTTCGTCCTCTCATACCCCGCCAACACCAAGACGGAGGTGGCCAATCTGATGCGGCACCACGACCGGCAGACACAGCCCCTGCAGAGGCACCATGGCAAGACGGCGGCCATCTGTATCGATCCCGGCAGCGAGCTGGCGGAGCCCAACGCGCCATTCGGTCAGGTCCTCTAAAAGCTCCACATCGCGGGGCCCATCGTCACGGCTGCACGTCGCCATGAATATCACGGGAAAGCGGAGAGGGCGATCGGCATCATCGGCACAATGGCGCGCACTGTCTTGGTGGCCAACGGACTGAACGCCACGCACCACGGCTGGTACGCCTGGAACTACGCCGTCAACACGCACAACATGACCTCCATGGTCAAGCGCGACGGCGTCACACACACAGCCCACGGGTGGATGTTTGGCTGAGAGACCCACAGACACGACTTGCATCCCTTCAGCTGCAGTGCGACAGTCTTGATCCACAGGGAGCAGCAAGGGCATCGCATGCAGCCGCGGGGCGAGCCGGGTGTGTTCCTCGGCGTGATGGGCGTGTTGCCGCAGGTGGCGGGCGGCCACTTCAAGCGCATCTATCACGGCGTCGACGTCAAGTTCGACCATTTCTGGTATCCCCTCAATCCGTCGCCCTACCCGGGCCTGCCATTCTTCAAGTCGTCTGAGGGGGCGAGTCGTCTGAGGGGGCGGAAGGGGCAGCAGGGGCGGACAGAGACGCCCCTCAGCATCAGCAGCAGCCGTCGCCCTACCCCCCATCGCAACAGCTTGTACAGATGGAGGCGCCGGAGAGGCCTCAGCGTGTCAGGAAGGATATGAGTGGCCTCGCCCCATAGCCCCGGCAAACGCGGCACGTCCCTCTGAGCGGCAGGATGGCCATCCTGCTGCTGGTGTGCAGATGGAGGTGGAGGACGTGTCGAGCGGGGTGCAGCCGGTCGAGGGAGGCCGAGCTGCCAATGATAGTGTTGTTGTCGAGGCGGGCGAGAGCCCCGCTGCTGAGTCAATGGCTCAGCCAGAGCGTCCTGGGGCGAGGACGTCGTAGCTGTAGAAGGAGACGAGCCCAGAGACGGAGCCCGAGAGCCGTCGGCCCTGACCCCTACTCATCTGAGTCGCCAGCGGCTCCTTCTGCAGCACCCCCAACAGCCCATCCATCTCAGCAGCCCTCTGACGTCCCACACGACCGCAGTGATGTTCACTGCGCCGGTGGCGATGACCAGCCGGCAGAGTATCGGGGCAGGGCATTCAATCGATGGAGGGTCCCGTGCCACGAGCTGTGGCCGGGCATCTACAGCAACCTCACAGCCTACGAGAGGCCGAGACTCAAGGAGCTCCGGCGCTACCTGAAAGCGGCGGGCAAAGCCGCGTGGGGCCTGCAGAGGCTAAGGGCGCAGTGCAGGAAGGAGTACAACGCAGCCAAGGAGACGGAGGAGAGTTTGGGAGCGGAGGGGGTGGAGGAGGCCTACCTGGCTGCTGTGTGGGCGTCGAGGGAGACAGCGAGGCTTCCGTCGACCCCGCGGCTGACGTCGTCTTCTCGGCGATATCGGAGGGCTACAACGGCACCCGCGGCACGCCAATCGACCACCTGCTGCTCGCAGCACAAGTGACCGATGTGGGCTGTGCTGATGGCGATGAGTACGTCAGGTGGATGCCAGACATGAAGGTGACCCCCGCCGAACCAAGAGCGGTGGCGAGAGGCGGACAAGGCAGAGGTGGGCAAGCTGCAGCACCACGAGACCTACAAGTGGGGCAAGAAGAGCGACGTCCCGTGCGTGAAGGATCTCAGCAAGCTTGGCAACCTTGGCCGCGCCATCGCCGATGCCATCGCTGATGAGGTGGAGAAGATCTCCAAGCTC